TTTATTATTTTTGTTATTAATAAAAATGATTTTGTCTTAATAAATGTTGCAACTGAAGCTTAAAATAACTAAAATTTTCGGATTCTAATTTTATACATAGCACATATTTACAGTAAAATAGTTTATATAAGGGGTGCTTATTTACGGAGGTGCTTATTTACAGCAATATACGGTATAACACTTATTATTTTTTAAAAAAAAAGTAACAAGGATATTAATATAATATTATAATTTGAGCTTTAACTTTGATCAACTATAAATATAGTATTTAGAATAACAAAATAAATAAAAATAAAAGAATATAAATGTAGATATATATTTTTTTGTAAATTATATCTTTTTTATATATCTTAAACTGAATAATCTATATAATTATTATTTTCTGAACTTTTTGATAAACTATCAATATCTAAATTATTATTTAAACTATTGTCTGTTTTGTCCAAATTTGAATCATATAATAAATTTAAATCGCTATAATTTTTTTCTACTGTTACTTCAATATTGATAGCTTCTTCAAGGTTAATAGCTTTATCTAAGTTTTCATTATAGTTACTTAAAGTAACTAGTTGATTTAACTGTCGCAAAATTCATAAATTCTAATAAAGATAAACTAGTTTTTCAAACTGTTTATTATTTAATTTATTATAAATTTTTAAGTAAATAAATCCAAATATTGACTAATTTCTTTTACTTGAAGCAGATAATGCCAATATTGAAAGAATTTTTAATACAACTTCATTTAAAATTAGAGCATAGTTTTTAACTAAATTCTACTATTTAAACAGATCTTCTTTTAAATTACTCCACAAATATGTATCTGAAAAAGAGACTGTTTTCTTATTATAATCAGCTAATTCTCCTAAAACTAATTCTGGAGACTCATTACTAGCTAGTCAAATAATTTCTTTTTTAATTAATTTATCCTATTTTAAAGGATCTAAAAATTCTGCTTAATAGCATGAGTCTAATTTGTAAGCAACTATTATTGCAGTATTTAAAAGTAATTTGTTTCATCTATTATTTCCAAATTTAGTTGCTTAATTTAAAATTTTTTAGATACTTGCCTATTGTTTTTACCGAATCTGTAATTTATTAAATTCAATATATGCTGTAGACAAAAGTAAATAATCACTTTTAATTATATAAATAAAATTAGCAAATAGCTTTAACAAATCATGCAGATGTTTTAAATTTAACCAAAAATTTCTTTTCAAAGAATATTTTAAATTTCTTCAGCAATTTTAATATTTTTTAATTAAAGTAGCACATAGTGTATTTTAGTTTTTAATAAACTATCAAGACAATCAAATACAGAATTCTATCTGGTAGTAATCATTAAACTATAAATGTATAGCAATTTATAAAAAAGTAGGTTTTTATAAAAAATTAGCAATTTATAAATTAATACAATTACTAAGATATATATATGGTATTGAATCAATAAAAAACAAACAAATTTTTTCTAAGTAAATTTTTTTTAAACTTTAAACAACAATAACTCAATCAAATTTAATAATTTTTTAAATAAATTCTACAAACTTATAGAATTTTTTTAAAAAAAATTTTATTAAATTTGATCAAGTTTTGGTTAAGTTATTGGTATATAAAGTTTTTAAAAAATTTAATAAAAACAATTTACTTGATTTCTATTGACTCTCCCCATATTTTAAATCCTACCTAAGTCTAATTTAATGCTCATATTTTTCATATTAGAAATGATGTAATGTTGGTAAAATTCTTTCATACTTATGATAATATTTAGAAATATTATATTCATAACACCATATTATTATAACACCCTATATGTCTTATTTAGAGTTAGGGTCTGGTTTTAAGATATATAGTAGTTTTTTATTATATAATATATATTAGACATAAGGTTCTAATAGGTTCAAATTTAGTTTTTATAAGGCTTTCAGGGGCGCTAATCATTTTTACTTAGAGTACCTACACCCATTTACTTAGTATGTTTTTGAAATATTGCAAAAGGTGTTATATAACATAGTGTTATAAATATAACTTTCCTAATATTTAATAATTTTCATAGCATTATCTAAAATTTGTTTAGCCCAATCTAACTTTATAATATCTTTAATCTAAAAGTTATTGAATGTGCTCAGCAATCAAGAAAAATTTTTTAAGGATATTTTCATTTTAAAAATTCTATGTTTAGCATATATTACTTGCATTATCAGTAATTACAGCTATAAATTTTTCAATACTTGCTTCTTTTATAATATTTTCAATCTCAGATGTGATATTTTCAGCAGTATTTTGAACTTCTTTAGTACAGTCTTAGATATTATCAAATTTGGATGATGTAGATCATACTCTTTTTTGTACAATTAGAACTTCTATTTCAGTCTATTGCTATTCTATACTAATCTATGGAGCTAAAATTATGCCAATTATCATTTACTTTCTGATTTGGTAAACAACATCTTATAAAGCCTTTAGGATCACAAAAGATCTCTAGACTATGTGTCTATAAGACTATTTATATCAGAATTAATTTAAACATTTATTATTAACTATTTCTTTTTTTTTTTTTTTTTTATATTTTTAGGTGAGGTTACGCTTCTGGTTTTTATTAACAAATACTTAGATATATCCTTACATATACGCTAACATAGCACTACAGAGACTTAGACTAATTTATCTATGACCTAAACCTACTAGAGTGATTTATGCTCCACACATGTCTCATCTAGATTAATGCTTCTCAACTAACTATTTCTAGTAATATCACATTCCCCTCACGTCTCACCTGATCAGTCATAACTTCCAATTTGGTACATCGAATATCCGCTCCTAATAAGTTCCCAAGTTGGTATACCTGCAAACATGATCCACTGCAATTTCTCTCTAAGGTATTTTATTCATACAATCATAATTGGTGCAGATGGTCTAACAGCTTTGTATCTCAAGCCAGAAACTTGCTGCCTAGTTAGGTTCACCACATGACAGAGTTGGTATTCCATTATTAAATTAAGAACTTATCTTGGGTTTGTGAAGACCACATTGCTAGTATTTAAGCTTTGCATATTGTATCACCTCAACCGATTTGCATCCCTTCATGCGCCATCTCTCTCCATGAATGCCCTAATCTCCCACTTATCTGCCCAGATACTGCTAACCCATATCTCAAGCCAAGCCCTGCTGCCACTGCTAGTTTATCACCCCAGGACTTAACGTTCTTTTTCTGATATAGTGGTACTAACTAATCTATTTATACTTCCTCATATAGTGTATTACCAGAACCCTATTGCGTAGTTGCTTTAATGACCTATCTTGTTAAAGACCAGCCTAACACCACAAAATTCTTTAAGTAGCAAGCAATTCTACTTCTAACTGTAGGCCTTGCGTCATGTTATTAGAAGGCGTACCCCAATTCACCTTGACTTCCAACTTGACTCTTCATCATTAGTTGGTGTTGCATTATTATTGGTATATTCTGGCTTCTTTCATCCATATAAGTATGATCAGAGCTCTGACTTGGTTCCTTTATATATACTAGATTAGCTCACCTGCCTCTATGAAATTACTTTCTTTAGCTAGTTGTTCTACAGTACCAGAGATGCTTCTTGTTTAGATAAGGCCAATCTTTTACCACAGCCCTTTCACATGTTCGCCGCTTCTCTCATCATTCCAGTTTCGGTAATATTGTATTACTCTCCCAAGCAAGTACCCAGCACCATTTCTAAATTAGGACTAATGCGCACGATCTGTTGATTATCCTTCCAAACAAGTACCCTACAAGTTGGATGCGAGAATGTTGGTGTTGCCTAATATAGAGGTGAAGGAATGTTGGTGTTGTCTCTAAGTCACCCCAACCAGAAGGCTAATACATGCGATCTTCTACAGCTTATACTTTCTGTGATGCCGCTGTCATACATAATGTCTGCACTTCATGATCAGGGCTCCTTCCGGGAATTTCTATTCCAAAATTATACTTGTATTTGAACTTTCCACAGGGCTTCACATCCGATTATAGCTCCATTTTAAGGTTACAGTAACAAATTTGAAAATTTGCCACCAGCCCGACTCGAACTGTCGACCTTGTCTGTGGAGGTTTGGGAGCTTAACCAGTAAGCTATAGAGCCCAAATCCCATTATTAACTATTTCATAATCTTGCTACCAGCTGTTTTAATATATAAATTGATTCTAAAATATTCTTTACTATGTTGTAAATCGATTTTCATATTTGATAAAATCTGAAACTATAGTAGTAAAATATCGATAAAAGATTAGTTATAGTATAATGATTATATAATTAACTATATGTATTCTGTTAATATTTGACTATCTGTCACTTGTTAAACAATAATATTTGGTTTTTAAAAATAAATTATTAATTATTTGACTAATATAACTATATTCTTAATTAAGAAGGAAATTAAAAATTCTATAATAAGAAGAAATAGTATAACTAGGGTTTGTTTTTTGTAAAAAGTAATGAAAATCAGAATTTTTGATCACATTAAAAAGAATACCTAATGAAATAAAGGCATAAGTTAAAAGTATATTATAAATTTTTTGATCTTGTTTTGATATAGTGTTAATATAATTATTAAATATTGTCTGCTTATTGCTTAATTTTTCACTACATTTTTATAAATATTCTTTAAGTCTTGTTTTATATCTAAGTGCCTCTACGACAAAGTAAACATTCATATCAAAATTTTCTATCTATATTAATTTCTTTAAAATTATTTCAAAATTCACCTTTTTCTTTTGGCATTATAAAAAAATAAAATTGTTATTTAAGATAATATACTGTAAAAGATAACTATTAAAAGCAAAAAATATTATAAGTATAAAGGGCATACTATTTAAAGTGTAGATGATTAGAGAGTATATATTTACTAAACTTTATACTTTGTATTTTCTTTAAACAGTTCTATATAAATAACAACTCTTTAACTTAACAACTAATATACTTAATTTTTATAGAATATTTGATCTTTCTAATTTTTTAACTTGAAGTATGAAAGTTAAGTTTTTTAATAATTTTGGCATTGCTTTTATATATATTTTGTAAATTTTAACTAACTTGTTATTTTTAGTTTTTTTTTATTAATTTTTACTATTTTTCTTTTACAAATTGTTTTGAAACTACTATCAAGTAGAAACCTTATCCTACTACTTTTATTTTACTATTTTTGGATCTAATTGCATTATTAATACATCTTGTTTTACTTTTTTTTTATTTATTTGTTAATTTTTTTACTGCCTTTTTTTGCTGATTATTTTCAATACCACTACTCTAAAACCTTATTAGGTATAATACTTTAATCTATTTTTGTTTCAATAATTATGCCTTTTAATTTTGTTTAATTGTAGAGCAAATGTATATATATATATTTAAACTGGTTTTATGTGATGATTATTGATTATATTTATTGTAATCATAATATAAGTAAAGTAAGATATAGAAAATAAAAAGCAATATAAAAATAAGCAATAAATTTATTTATTTCTTTATATATACTGTATTATATTTATTGTTATGGCTGAATTTTAAAATAGCTAAAGCTTTAGTTTAGATTACAGATAAACTAGTCTGAGCTTCTATTCTTCTTATAATATTTTAAAAGTAGATTAGTGCTTTATGTAAGAATCTCAATTAAATATTCAATAAAGATAGAGGCATGGCCACACTATTAATATTAAAAAAAAAAAAATAGCTAAAGCTTGAAATTAGTATTTTTGATTTATAAATATAAACTCTACTAAAATTTACTTATACATTTTAATTATTAAAACTAACTCTATAAATTCTAAACTAACTATAAAAAAAAGGCTAGAAAAATGCACTTAAATTTTTTAAAAATTTTATATTAAAGTATTTAAAATTTTAAATTTTAGTTATTTTAAGCTTCAGTTGCAACATTTATTAAGACAAAATCATTTTTATTAATAACAAAAATAATAAA